CAGCCGGTTCGGTAGAGCTTGGAGACGCTGACATGCCGGCTGGACCAGGCGGCCCGACGGCTCCCTTCGGTCCACGTGGTCCGGGTGGCCCGTCCTTTCCATCAGATCCAGCCGGCCCCCCGGACCCCTTTTCTCCCGGAGGTCCAGGAGGCCCGGCAGACACAGGACCAGCTGGCCCCATGGCTCCCTTTTCTCCGGGAGGTCCGGGAGGCCCGACAGACACAGGACCATGTGGTACCATTGGTCCCCTTTTTCCTGGCGAAACGTTTACCACAAGACAAACACCGTTACAAACGCTAACAAGAATTCGTAGGACACAGATCTCCGTGAAATAATCACTGTGCTCGTGGATCCTCATAGATAATGTGAACGATGCCCTGATTTACATGGTTCATATCTAAAAGTGTTCATCTTTTCAACGTCACTTCCAAATGACACAAGAATTGAAATACCATCATTTACCAGTAAGGAATTATAGGGTTTTCTTATCAAGTATGAAAATTATCTCATTTACATAATTACTGTCTATCCATATTCCCCTCTACATCAGTTACATATGTCACATGTTTGAGAGTCCTATCATGAAATGCAGTGGATGCATAAACTTTCATCCGTAATTATACAACAATCTATGTACACACCAAAATTATGACGATCCGTCAATTCCTTTTGGGGCTATTCTCTTTCAAACTCTGAAACAAAATCGGCCGCTGCTCTACACAGACACCCAAAATGAAACATCTGCTTGGACATATGTACGCCCCATACTTGAATATGTGGCGACAGTCTGGGACCCTCATTCCCAACAAGACATTGATAGGCTAGAGGCAGTTCAGCGCAGAGCAGCACGTTTCGTGATGAGACGTTACAGGCAAACGTCAAGTCCCACAGAAATGCTAGAGGACCTGAACTGGCCCAGTCTTCAGGCCCGAAGGAAGACAGCCCGACTTGCCATGCTATACCGCATACAGCATAACATCGTCTGCACAGATGGTCTTAGGGGTAAACTACAGCCTGCCCCAGTACGTGAGAGAAGGGTGCACGGCCAACAGTTTGTACAGCCAGGTGGTAGGACCCAGTACCGTATGGCCTCATTTTTGCCACGCACTGTCAAAGAATGGAATGCTCTGCCTCAGACAACGGTGGAAGCCACATCTGTTGACACCTTTGTGTCTAGGGCTTCCAAACTACATCAGTCTTAGGTTGGTGACCTCTCGCCTCCTTCAACTAAAAGTGACAGAATGATCAACTTGATGATAGCGGTCACTTCAACTGGAAGAGGAAGAGGACATCAGGTATCTAAGATCTGGAGAAATGTTCGACAGGCCAAACACTACGAAGGCCCACAACGACACTTCCACAGCGCGCTTCCAAGGCACCTTCCATAGCGCGATTCTGCGAACCTTCCACAGCGCGATTCTGCGAACCTTCCACAGTGCGATTCTGCGAACCTTCCACAGCGCGATTCTGCGAACCTTCCACAGCGCGATTCTGCGAACCTCCCACAGCGCGATTCTGCGAACCTTCCACAGCGCGCTGCCAAGGGCAAAAACTACACTTGTCTGATGTTATGGAACATTGAATCTTGCAAACTATCTTTTCGGTTATTAAGGTCATACTGAAGGGTGCCTGAGGACTTTTTGGAAATACTAATATAGAAAAAAAACTCTATCTGACATGGTAGACTTTTTGGTCTATTTTTATAATCTACAACATATTTTTTGCCAGGGCCACATTTTGACCGCGAAATTGAACGACAAAGTTCGAAATTTTTACGCGCCATCTACCATCCGGGCTCCCATATATGGAGTGCTCTTCCAAATATGGAGTGCTCTTCCATATAATGTGCACACACCCCGGCCCCACTGAAGCGAAAGCACGATTCCGCTGGGCCACTTGAAGCAAGGAATGTGAACTGTCACAGTGTGTGTGAGCTTCACTTTGCCATTGGGAAAGGAAAAGACAATTTTCCTGATACTTAGAGCGTTTGTAAATACAGTACATCATGTTATTTGTAGACCGCTAAGTAACCAAAATCTGCCAACTGCAAAGAATTTACGAAAACCTGCCATGCCGGCTATATATATATTTATTAAGTCGGAACACATATTCAACTGGAAATATACCACAGAAATCACCAAGAAAAAGGCATGGATTACGCCAACAACTTCCTATGAAAAAACATTTGACTGCCAAAAGGAACGTTTGAGTTTGTTTCGACTGCAAAATGTTTGTAAATATAATTTCTACCGGTAGTAACTGTTATATGCAGTTGTAGGAAGAAGATACTAGTACTTGAACAAACATGACACAAGAACTGATTTCCAATCTGCAACGTTCTTTTTTATTTAAAGAAATACAATACANGTTCACAATTTGTATCTTACCTGGGAACCTCTTTACCTGTAAAAATGATGTAATTATGTAATTATGTAATCATTAGCCTAATTAGGAAAAATATGTAAACTTTTGTATGTAAAAAGATGAAATTAAAGACCTTTGTGGCAAATTGTTTGATCCTAAGATGCTGAAAATTTGAAGATTGTAGCATGAAAACTTTAAGAGATACAATAAAATGTATGTCAGATATTGTTGATTTATGGTCTCTTTTGGTGCCATGACTAATTAGCCTATTCCCATAGGACCAATACTTAAGCATCTTCCAATGAAAAAGTCAAAATCATAAACTTTGAAAAATTCTAGAAAATCTCAACTTTGTCCAATTTTTATGCGAAATGAAGCATTCTGACCGGAAAAATCTACTCTATAACATGGAATCATTTTTAATAATCCTTGGCACCCCCCTATTTTTAGTGTGACATCCCTAATTATAATGTTCTGTGTTATGATAACAGACAAGTATATGTGTATGTGGTAGGATCAATTCTAATAAGACATACCTTAATATATTGGAAGGTTATAGATACATGCATTTTGACTGGAATCATTATGATCATGATAGAAATAACTTGTTACATCACTGTGTACAATTTTTTAAATATTATTGTCGTAAACCCAAGGTATTGCCTGTGTTGTACCATGTTTTTTGCATTGCTTTTGATACACATTAAAGACAAAACCTGCCATGCAATATTGTCTATGTTGCCTTATTTTTTATAGATAATCATAGTATGATTTCACAACAGTGGAAGCATTGGGATGACAAGCTAGAAGACAAGTATCATGTTAGACAAGTGTCAAATAATTTTCTGAAAATCATCCCAGTACCAAGAAATTTAATTGGAATGGCCTGAGTATAAATTAAGCATGAATATTTACATATTTTAACAGCCGGACATTGTAAGCATAAAAACTAAAACAAATTTGAGACTGAAGTAAACAAAAACGACAGCGAACAGTGTCACTGCGATGTGACCCTTGACCTATAATAGGGGACCGTCCATTCTTCAACAAGGCAGGGGTGACACGTATTCTTCCGTGCAGAGAGCTTTCGTTGCGCGCAGCGAGGTCGCCGAGGAATCTCTTTCTGTGCAGGCGTGAGGAAGCTCTTGGCAGGCACGACGCAGGTATTCGTGCGCAGACGAGGAAGCTCTTTCTGTGCAGGCGTGAGGAAGCTCTTGGCAAACACGACGCAGGTAGTCGTGCGCAGACGAGGAAGCTCTTTGCAGACATGACGCAGGTATACGCGCAGGCGACGCAGGTTTGCGCGCAGGCGACGCAGGTGTGCGCGCAGGCGACGCAGGTTTGTCCTTGTCGGCCACGGTACATAGCTGATGCAACAATATCACAACTTTATACGATGGAAGGAAAGCATTAAATACCGCCTGTGTATGTTTCAATAGACACAATTATCTAGCCTTACTGAAGGCGTGGCCACACTCACCGTACGATGTTCCTGAATTTTCAAGCAGACTGTGGCAGCACCAATCACCTGCACCAAATAATCTAATACTGCATTTTCGGTAACAACAATCCCAAAAAATGCCTTCAATTTCGTACGACAATCGTGCAACGAATTTGGCCACACCTTTACTCAGTAAAGCTTTACGGGTAGGATGACATCTGTCATTTTGGTTTGCCTTGTTAGTTTATTGTTACTACTACTAGTACATCGTAAGTCAACATTATCTAAGTATATACGCTGGGAACTGTACCAAAGAATTTTTTCTTCATTTTTGTCTTCTTCTGCATTGGTCTTCCTTGTTGATTAATACAAATAGAAATCAATGGGTCGATTTTACCTTCTTCCTCGCTCAGATCTTGACCCAGGCAGTTCAA